CCCCCCCCCCCCCCCCCCAGGGTCTTTTCGTGGTTTGTTGCAAGTGCTGGTTATCGATTCTGACTTTGATTTTTTCTCGTTGCAACGGCTGGGCGGCGTTGCCTCGAGTTGTGGATGTGTACCCTATTGTCCATGTTGCTAACCTATGTATCTTGTTTGCTGTTTTTTTGGTGTGCTTTTCTTTCCAGGACGATGCTCTGTACCCGTTGCTCACGGTGCGAGAGACCCTCCGCTTCGCCGCTGAGCTCCGCATCCCCAACATGACCAAGGTAAGGCCCTTTTTGTTTTCTTTTTGCCAAGCGATCATTCATACGTTTCACAATATTGTCAATGAAATGCATCCCGACGAGAGAAATTTACTAATAGTGGCACAACTGTACACGCGTCGCCTTCGTAGCCCTGTCGTGTCAAGTTTTCTTTTGCTTGCGTGTTTGCTTTTTTCTTGTTCTCACGCCGAGGGGTACGGCTGCTGTTGTGGTTGGCAGGCGGACAAGTATGAGCTTGTGGAGGAGACGATTCGGCAGCTCAAGCTCACCAATTGCGCTGACACCAAGATCGGCAACGAGATACACAGAGGCGTCTCTGGGGGTGAGACGGACTATTGTACTTTGGTATTGTCATCTGAACAGCGACAACGGAGTGTGTACCACAGGTTACATTCATTAGGTCGCACATGCGGACAGCCGACAACATGGCGTTCTTGGAACCGTCTCGTCGAGTTTTCCAAGTGGGTCTCGTTCCATCCTCGTGGACTTGTGGAGTAGTCGAGCTTTGATAATCGATGGCCCCAAGGAGTATGGTATATAACGTATTCAACTTACAGTCCTATCCAGGGAAACTTCAACACCAATTCATGCCGACAGCGGCAAAGTTTCCAGCGTGTTTCTTTAAAGCAAGCCTGTTTTTTTCACAGGACAGTGCCCACACGCGCTGCTGCCGCTGCCATATGCAGAACCGGTTTTTTTTTGGCCCGGCTGGTGCATTCATGTCAGTCTCTGCTACTTCGTACTGCTGATAAAAAGGATAGTATGATCCTGTAGAATGTGCTCTCCATGATTCCCTACGTCCCCGGCCTTCGGTTACGATGATGGTGATGGTGATCGTCATGAGTCAGTACAAGCTGTTGCGTGTTCAATCTCCGTCGTTCGTCATGATAGTGGTGTGAGCTATAATAACATGTACCACCAGGTGCACTAATTTTTTGTGTGCTGTTGTCGCGTTTCGGGGATTTTTTTTCTAGCTCCATTTGTGGTTCCGCTCCATGATTCCACCACTGGAAAGGTTCATCCCTCCTGGGTGTGTAGTTGACTATTTTTGTGACCACGGAAAGCGCCGTCGTCAGTTGGACCAATAACGATCGTAGAATAGTAGGAGGCACAGTGCTGAGCGGAGACAGGAATGTTTTTTTTTTGCGAAGACAAGAAGTTGTAGTAACAACAACACGACGACGGCTGCGGCGTTTTTCGCAACGGGAATTACATGTACCCCTCAGGGGAGAAGCGTCGGGTGTCGATCGGTGTGGACACGGTGCAGCAGCCCACCATCATTTTCCTGGACGAGCCGACGTCGGGGCTAGGTGAGTGGGGGAAGGCGTTTGTGACGTGACATGACGTCACCAGACTTTTTCATAACCTATGGTATGCTGTTATCAGAAAATCACTCCCATCAAGTTCGGTATCCCACCTCGCTCACGGATGCGTGTTTTTCGTTGAGTTATTTGTTTCATGAAGCAATGAACCGACACCTCTTATCTTTGCGTTGTAAGTGTGTGATGCACATATTTTGAATGTCCTCAATCTAAGCTCTTCCGCCGTATTCATACTCCGATTTCGAGGTCGAGGCGGTTTTATCACGTACAAACGGCCGGGTTCTACATGTTGGGAACACACGGGTGCAGGTGTAATGCCGCCCGTATCTAACACCTTGTGTCGTTCTTTATTTTGCATGTTCGGGTACTGTGATCAGACTGACTCTACGACGGCATTGACGGTCCGCCCTTTTCTCACTTCCGTGTGCAACTCGCCCCCCTCTACAATGTTTTGTGTTGGTGGGGTATCTACCTCTGATAGACTCTACGACGGCGTTGACGATCGCTCAGACTCTGTCCTCAGTCTGCAAGCGCAACCGCACGGTGGCGATGACCATCCACCAGCCCTCGACAAGGGTGCTAGACGTGTTCGACAAGGTCATGTTCCTCAGCCGCGGCAGGGTGGTGAGTTTCTTTGCTGGAAGTAGTTCTCTTACTCGCTCGCGTGTACCCGTCTCCCCCGAAGTCATAGGGTTCTAGGGTTGGATCAACGATGGTTTGCCTGGTAAAATATCCCGTCATTGTTTACGTTTGGGCGGTTTGTTTCTCCCTCAAATGTGTTGGCCGTATTGTCTTGCGAAGGACCTACAGCGATTCATTCGTCTTGGTTTCAAAGGCAGCAGTGCTTGGTTCTCCCGCATATTATTCTTCATTATATCCGGTTTGCTTTGTTTGTGTCCTGCCTTGCTACCTCGTTGTGGTCGATCCATGACCTTCACATTGCTTTCCGGGACTTCTCGTTGTTATTGCTGTGTTCACATTGTAGACAACCGTAACGGATCCAAGCAATGCGCACGGCTTCCGTGGTCACATACCAACCCAAAAAATATTTGTAGAAAGAAGAATGGTATGTAGAATTATTTATTTTCTCGCACGGGTATGGTTTCGGCTTGGTTTGCCCTTCCACCAAGGTCTACTTCGGGCGCCCGGCAGACTTGCCAGCCTACTGCACCGGCCTTGGCAAGACCCCTCCGGCGTACTCTAACATCGGAGAGTTCTTCCTCGAGGTGGTGGACGAGTACGAGACCGCCGACAACGTGAAGGTGCGGTGCACCTTTGTTGGACTAGACATTACAAGCAGTGCCTTGTAGCTGTATCTTTTCTCATGTTTGTTGGACGGTCATTCCCTTGAGATGGTGGACGAGTACGAGGCCGTCGACAACGTCAAGGCGCGGTATACCTTGGTTCGACTCGACATTTCAAGAAGTGTCTTGTAGCTGAATCTTTTCTAGTGCCCTGTTGTGTGAACTTCCTCCTGCTGTAAACGTGTTCGAGGGAGACGTGTGTGCGAGGAAGAACTTGACGCTACAAGCCGAGAACGTGCGGTGAACCTTAGTTCGACTCGGTATTGGAGAAGTGCCTTGGTGTGTACATGTAGCTGGTTCTTTACGTTTCGTCTTTTGGTAGACTTCTTCCCCCCTGGAGTCTTTGGCAGTAGGTCTGACGATTCGCTACTGTAGCTGTGCACCCAAAAATTCCCCACCCATAACTAGGTACATTGCCTCGCACGTTACCCGACTTACACACAATTCTCTCTCTCGCTTTCTCCCGCCGCATGCCCATTGGTTTTCCTATCCAACAGGCGTTGGCCGACAGCCACCATGAGGCAGTACGCATGCGGGCCCCCTCAACGGTAAGTTTTTCTATATCTCACCTCACTCTATAGACCTTAAAAAGGTCAACAATCGTTTATTGTGGTTGCTGTTTCAGAATGGGCGTCGGTGATTGGCCCTACAGTGCCCCGAGAATGTGAGACGCATGCCCATGCCTCCTCTGTGACAGGTGGTTGGCCTAATTGTGTTGCACTTTGTCGTCTGTTTCAAACGTTGTTTTTGGTATTGGCGTCGATGGTTGGCCCTACCCCTGAGAAAAATGTTCGCATGTCCCCTCAGCGTCAGGGTGGTTTGACCTTTTGCTTTCTGTCCCTCAGTCGTGGCGTCGTCTACCGCACTTTCGTTTGGATGTGATGGTGTGATGGAGTTACCAATGCCGTCTCGACGACGATCGCTTACCCCCCCTTGTTTCACAGCAAAGTTTGTTTTGCCAAGAGTTTGCACATTGGTTCTCTCCAGTTTCTCAGCCGCCGTGCTTTCGTGCCCCTTTCGTGGTGTTCAGGCTGGTGTAGAGGCGGACGCGCTCGAGGACACAGGCTACGACTACGCCAACCCGATGTTGAATGAGATCATCATTCTCCTCCGACGTCAGGTGAGGAGGGAGCGACATTACGTTCCATTCATAATGTCGCTTTGACACAGCTTGCAATTAAATGCGACGGGTTTAGCAGCGATGTCCACCCGTAGGCGCTCTATGAGGCGGGTATGCGCAATACCTATCCATTTCGTCCTATTCAAGGCCTTAACCGTCTTGAATATTCCTTCCGTTTATGCCAGCCAATTTCACCCGCCCTCACAGCGAGCACCCGCCTTTTTGAGGGCCTACGACTGTACATGACGTGTCGCGATAGGCGCAGCTTGTACCGCGGCGGGTTACGCTTGCCGCTTGCTCATGCTATCGTGTTCGGGTGGGTGGCCTTTGTTAGAGGGGGAGACGTCGGTACGGTAACACGTCACGTGGCCCCGAGACACTGCCATGTGCGGTGCACCCGTACGGCGATGCCCCTTGGGTACGATAGGCGGACCATAAGTACCTCGTTCTGAAGCGAGTTGAGCCTTCCGGTGGTCTACACACAGCCCACCGATTGACACACACATGCCTTGCTCTGCATTCGAGCTCAGATAGGAGTACACTGCATACTAGTTCATCAGCGTTGGTTTACTTGTGGCACAGCACACACCCGATTGTTGCCAGACCAAGAGCAGGCCCACCCGTTGTGGTAATTGGGTCGCGTTGCTTCTGGACGACCCGCGTTTTGTATTGCCCTCCCTGCTTTATTCCGTCGACAGAGTGAAAGAGAGAGTGTGAAACAGTGTGAAACAGAGAGTGAAACAGAGAGATGAGAGACAGTGAGAGTGAGGGAGAAGGGTCAAATTTATGGTGGTTTCGCCCGTAATTTTGTCTTCCTTATGTGGTATGTGGGCCGTCTTCTTCTCTTCGCGCAGTGGATAAACGTCGTGCGCACGCCGGAGCTCGCCGTTGTCCGAGTGGTGATGTGCTCGGTCGTGGCCCTAGTGCTGGGGTCTTTGTTCTGGATGACCGACGCAGACGCCAAGGGGTTTGGAGGCCGTGCGGCTTACTTCGCATTCGGTGAGTGCAGCGAAGGAGGGCAGACAGATATGCGTAGTTTTTGCTGCGTTTGAAGAGGATGGAGGATGGATGGAGACAGACTGCTCTTGCGGAGAACGTCGCTGATTGGAGGAAGGGGCTGGTTAAGGAAATCGTCACCCGTCGAACAAACACGCTCTTGAAGCACCTCATCACCCATTACAGGATAGCCTCTTTATGCACACATAGCATCACCCATTACAGGATCGCCTCTTTAAGTACAGCATCGCCCGTTGAAAAACGAGTGTATTCCACGCAGCATCGCCCATTGAAAGGAGAGCCGCTTGAAGTGCAGAACCAACGTTGGAAAATGAGTCTATTTAGCACAGAATAATCACCCCTTGAATAGACTGACGCGATTTTCGTGGGGGACTTGCCAGGAGAAGGAGAAAGCAAACGACCTTCTAGGATGGGGTGTGAGCGGTGGCTAGCTAGTGTATTGCCTCTCGCGAGCAGAGACCCGACCGTGAGAGTAAAGACTACTGTTATATATTGGCTTGTACAAAAAAAGTGGTCTGTTGTGGATCGCTACACAGTAGGCTCTTCGAGTCACGAACACGTCAGCTGTGTGAGCTGTCAAGGTTGGGAAACGTGGGGCCGCAGCTGGCAATCAGCTGTGAGGTAGGCATGCTGCAACGCTTTTCTTTCATCATGCATTACACCTTGATGGCACTGCTGTGTTCTCATGAACCCACTCCGGAGGGACAACTTGTAAGTAGAGAGAGATGGATGGGACTAGCAGTCGAAACAGGTGTGCTCGTGGCAGCAACAGCAGCAGCGGATCAATTAGGACGCATTGATGCGGATGGCGACGTGGGGCATGGCTTGTCCTCGACGGGTTGTTTTTCTTGTGCAGCAGAGGAAGAATCAGCAACAATAAGAGAGCAAAGAGCAAAAGAGCGTGGGCGGGGGGGGCACCGGTAGCAGCAGCAACGGGCACGCTTCTCTAGCGGCGCCAGCACGAGATGTTTGAGTTCGAAGCAAACAAGAAGCAGTTCAGTCATACTCTAAAACGTACAAATTGTTTGACGTCTGTTCATTATTCGTGGTTGTGGGCGGGTGATCTCGTTCGGTGTGCGCCATATACGCGGATTCAAGAGCGGCCCTTGAATCCGGGTATATGGCGCACACCTAACAAAAAGACCGAACGGCAAATACGCATAGTGAGCATGTGCAAAAATCATGTACGCTGTCGAGTATGACTTAGCTCCTTCTTGTTTGTTTCGAACTCTGTTCGCAAGTTGAACGGCAAGAACCGTTTTCAGCAAGGGGTTATGTCAAGATATGCGTACACTCAAAACACCCCGCGCTGGCGCTAGAGAAGCTGCCGCTGTTGCCTGATGGGTGTCATGTACTTATCATTGTACCGTCAACACGAGTTGTTGTGGGACAGATCTCACTTCTCACCACCAGCAATGGCTATTAACATAATAGTAAGGGTTTGCCTACCGAGGTGCATATCATAGCCGATGTGATCTCTTGATAGCCAACGAATCAACGCATGGTTTTTTTCGCTAGCTGGAAAATATCAACGTCGACCCCCCTGTGGTATTTGTCTCTGCCGTGTCCCCTACTCGCGTCCACTCGCAGCATGTGCTCTGTTCCTCTTCACCTCTCTGGAGGCTCTGCCGATCTTCATGGAGGAGCGGTCCATCTACACCCGCGAGCACAGCAGAGGGGCGTACCGCGTCATATCCTACCTGCTGTGCAACTTCCTCATCTACTTCCCTGTGTGCCTGGTCATGTCGGTGGCCTTCACTGCCATCTCCTACTTCATGGTGCGTTGGTTTGTCTCCCTTGTCTTGCCGTTTATTCTGGGCTTGAATTCAAGCCTTGCACCCATTGGTACCTCTCGGGTGGATTGACAGACTGGATGAAAGAGTGAACGCGTAGTTTTCCTGCGGTGTCTGTTGCGCTTGTTCCAAGTATTCTTGCCTGCACGCGCGGGATGGCAAAAGTGTGCGTTGATTCTAGGCCACCTCGTAGTGTTGTGTGTGTGCGCGCGGGCACCACCAACAGCGCGCTGGCCCCCCTGCCCCCCGCGTCACTGTTCCATCATCGCGGAATGCTCCATCGTCGCACATGGACCTCCCATGCGAGTCTACCAAAGGTTTTTTTCTCTCTCTGTCTCTGGGACTTCAGGCCAGCGCGAGGCCTAAGGGCTTGTACAAATAGTTCTCGTAGTTTTGTGCGTTTGACCTTCTAACGAAGTCTTTGTGCAGCTCACCCTATCTCCGCACAAGCGCCGTCGTTGTCCTTACGTCGGCACTTGGGAGTTGAGTTTATTCACTCTCTGTCAGGAAAGAATAGTTCGCCAAACTCTTGGCGTGCCAGAGAGAGCAACGCGGAAAAAAGGAGCGAGGCGGTAAACATGGGAGGCTTTTTGTTGTTTGGCACCCCCAGGAATTGCCAGTGTGAGTCACTCGTGCCGTCCCAAGGCACAAGCTCACGGAGGCACTGGTATTGCACGAAGGTGCGCACCACGACCTCCTCACGGTGTACAATAGCTTGGCGGCGAAGAGTCCCCAAGCGCCGATCAAATTGCTTCACCCAACCAACGATGGATATCCCTCTCACGAGCCAACCCGATGGGCCTCTTCGAGCACCCCTGCATGTCTGAACATTGGCTGACAACAACCCCCCCCCCCGCCATGTACACCGGCTGTGACACGCGTTTTTTTCTTTTGTGCAGATCGACCTTCCTCCGGCTGGTTTTCCGTTCCAGATCCTGGCTATCTTCATGACTCTGCTGGAAGGGAACGCTTTCGCAACCTTCGTTTCCGGTGCTGCCCCTGATCCGCTTACGGTAAGACCCTCGAAGGTCGAGGCAAATAGAGAGACAACGAGAGAGACACACAGACAGAGATAGAGACAGACACTGTCAAGAGGCAGAGAGAGACAGGCAAACCCGGTTTGGCACTTTTCTGTAATCTTGGGCGGGCGTTGTTTTGGCTTGTTGAGTACAGTAGGGCGAAAGCGTTGGCTGGCAGTCGGCGGCTTGAGTTGTCGCTACTGCAGGCGAGAAGGGCTATCTGCGTACATAGCTCTTGATGTGGGATTTTTTTTTCGCCTGGGAAGGGTTTTGCCAGTATTACGCATTAGTCTCCGTGGAACGCAATCTCCCTGGGTCACCTTCTTCCGGTGCACATGTTGCCAGGCGGGATGCCTCAACGGACTTGAGACTATTTTTCCTCGCATGGGTATCAGAATGGGCGTCGACTACAACAAATATGGTTCCTTTATCAGTTCGCAATCATACGGCCTGGCGGCCATCCTGTTTGTAAGGGCGGTTGATTCTAACGACACGAATATTTGTTGTCGGATTCAAGATGTATCCTACTGTGAATAGTGCCCGGGTGTCGGATAATCCAAGGCCTGTGAAAATCCTTTGGCATTCTGCGCCCTTCTGCAGAGGTCACTTTTAGTGCGATCACACGCACGCAACCCTCGTTCATAAGCCGCCCGAGTCTCACCATCCTGCTCTGACTTATCGCCAGCAGGCTTTGTGAGTTTACGTTGCTGAACCCCACATCGATGAACAATGTTTGCTGTGTAGGGAAACGGGTTGGGCACGGCTTTGCTGGCTTTTATGTTCCTCTTCAGCGGATTCTTCATCGCCTACGACGACATCCCAGACGGGTGGAAATGGTTCAGCGCCTTGTCCATGTTCAAGTACCCGTTCGAGGGAATGATTCGGAACATGCTGGACGAGGAGGAGGAGCGCAGCGGGGCATCGGAGGAAATTGAATCTTTTGCCGACGAAAGCAGCGTGTCAGATATCGACATATGGGTCGTTGTTTACGGCCCCTTGTGCTTTATCGTAGGATTCCGATTCCTCTTCTATCTGACCCTCGTCTTCAAGCACAGCGGAAACCGCAAGTAGACCGTACGAGCACCGAGCGACCGCGGGGATAAAAGTAAGGGGGTCAAACAAGAGAATAGGTATGATGCCTTTGAAGTGGCGCGGTTGTGACAAGGTGCATTTCTGTAGGTAATGTTGTACGCATCGTGGGAGATATATCATGGGTCTCCAGTCTGGGATGTTGTTGATTGTTTCTGCGAGACACCTGTCCTTCATTTGTCTCTGCTATTTTCATTTTCATTCTGTGTTACAGTGTAATGTGGTTACTTTTCCGTGGAGGCGCTGATTGGTTCGGCGAAGGGACCCACTCGGATTAGGTTTTCTTTCTCGAAACCCGAATGTGGGTTGGAACTTGGGTAGTAGGGATGTCCCCTGTCCCCTCCTCCTTCACTCTTTGCCTCGGTTTTTCTCGGCGGAAAAGCGTCGACGGTTGACGTCAATCGGGTCTAAGTTCGCCTTCCTCAAAGGAAAATGCGATCTGCACTTCTGACTTCTCTTGTTCCCCTTTTTCCCCGTCCTGCTAATCTTAAGGTTTTTTTTTGTGATCGGCTATCGCGTTTTAGAATTTTCTGGGCATTTTTATTGTTGAGAGAAAGCCGACATAGTAATTGACTCTGGTTTGCGAGTGGCATATCGTCGTTATTGTGACGATGCCACGGCATTGATGCACATCATGAGGGGGGAGGGCAGTCAAAAGCAATACATAGTGGGTTTGGGGCGTTTCTTGTTAATTGTTTCGGGTATATTTGTTTATCATGTTTGGGGACGCAATATCATCGGCGTTGCTAGTCCCCAGGTAGCTTTTTTTTTTGCTCATTGTTTCAGGCTTAAGAACGGAAGCGGGAACGTACTCCTCATGTACGCATCGCGTTTTAGTGTTCTCTGGGTTCATTTTTTTTTCCGTTCTTCACTCATATTTACCCACTGGTAGGTCTTGTCATCATCAATGTTCTACAGTTACATCCGTAGCTTGATGAGGTGATCACGAATACCGTTGTTTCTTTTGTCGTACGAAGGCAAATGGAAAAGTTGTTGTGCAAGGACCATATCGCATTTATGAAGGATATTTAGGCAGAGGAAAAGGCGCATGCATACCTCGAGCAACGTAAGGCTTGTAATTGAAGTGCGGCTTCTGTCGCACGTATCAGATTGTTCATGTTGTTGTTATCTTCACATTAAATTCGTGTCAGTTGCTAATCCCAAAATCTAGCGAAGACTCGTTCCGTGGTAACAAAATTGCTAGAGTCGTCAGAAGATCTAAAGAACACGCACACAATTAGCAAGAAAAGGGTACACAAGCCCGAGGAGGTACATCTACAATCCCTACAGCACGTTTGCGTGCTCACAACTGCACTACACGCCCACACACCTTTTTATGTATGTCCTTTGTATTGCCTTCGTCCTCTGTGCTGTGTTTCGTTTTTTCATGTCCTCCCTGCCTATTCTGCTGTGTTGGGTACCTTGATCTCGCTTTTGCTGTTGCTGTTTTTTGTTGTACATGTGGCTGTCTGCCCATCTGCCGCCTCTTCGTCCTGTTTGCTCCGTCACTCCCATGCCCTGGTGCGTAGTGCCTGGTGCTGGTACGTTACTCTTTGATTTTTTCTTTAGACGGGTGTGGGAAGCGTCCTCCTTCTTTTTGGTTTTTGTTTTGATCGGTTTCCGAGGGCTCTTTCCTCGAACGGACGGTGCGGTACCTGTCATTTCCTGTTATCATTTTGTTTTCCTTGTCCGAGTGGTTTGTACCCTATTTTTGTTTTGTTTCCCCGCGGCGTCGTATGTGCCGGGTTTTGAGACCACGGGCTCCCCATTGTTTGTGGACTAGACTATAGAGCTAATGTGAGAGACAACAAACAACTCTACAAATCGACTACAGCAGCAGCATCACCCCCCTTGTCCCTTTTTAGCCAAAATGAATGTTTGTCGATTACAGCGCACTGTGCTGTCTGAAGTGCTGTCTGTACAATAGTAACACCATGGTGCATGGTACACAAACTCGGGCCGTGCAGCTGCTGTCTGAAGTGCTGTCAGAATTAGTCCGTGGACATGCAATGAAGAACGCCCAACCAAAGCCATCATTGCAATTGACAATCACCCGAATCTATCCAGATCATCTGTGTTAGGCACAGCAGTGAAAACATCGACACTGACTAGGAATCGTTCCATATTGAAGGGGTCTTCCACGATCCAGGTACACAATCAAAGGCACCCGGGTTATCCACGCCATCTCTGCCGTGTCTCTCTACAAAACCAGCGACGTCATCACACCTACACACTGGTAGGGGAAAGGGGCCATACAAGATGGATTTGGTAATCCCCCCAGGATTACACGCAGGAGAGAAGGAAGAGGAACTCTGCACCAACTCCATTCTTGTAGACGTAACAATCGTCAACCCATCCGCAGGTCGTAGCATCGACAAGTCGATCAAAAGCCAGGATCCGCCCTCCAAGATCGAGCTGCAATTACGGCAAATCACTATGCCGGCACTTTCAACCCGTCTAGATCTACCCTCCTTACTGCTGCTTTTTTAAAGAATGGTGGTCTTGGCAAAGGCACCAATCGACTCATCGTTGCTATCGCCAACCACTTGGCGCACGAAGTTTTTGCCGGGGGAATTTTGACGACGAAAGAGCCTTAGTTCGCCTGAAAGCTTTCATACTAACAGGATTTGAAGACGGTTTACCTTCGAGCTAGCTCGTTTTCTGTCGATGCGAACTCGCAATGTGTTCAAACGTCATGGGCTACTGATCGACCAACGTCCACCAGGGCCGAGCGGTTGGGATCCCTGCGACAACGGTAGTAATGAGGGTAATTCTTTTCGGAGTGATGGAGACGAAGGAAATGGAAAGGGAAGAAAGGAGGACGAAAGGAGGACGAAGACGACGATGGAGGAGGAAAGCATGGAGGAGTGGAAGAGAGCAAAGGGTTTGAGCCAGATGACCTTCCCCAAAACAAAAAACGTAGGACTAGGGAAGAACTGCCCAGAGATTCTTGTCAAAATCAGAATGATGGTAGCAAAAACAAGGAGGATAATGGTGAAAGTACTCCTAAACGAACTCGAGTACAAGGTAATAGCCTTGATAGACGCGTGCAGTTTTCTTTTGTTGCTGCTGTTTCTGTCTTTGATCCGAAGGATAGTTTAGTCGCCCCCATGCCTGCCCCCTCACGGGGTCCCAGGTCATGGCAGATAGAAGTGTTTTGTGTTTTCAACCGCACTAAGACTGACGTCTTTTCATTGCTCAGCCGGTTAGCGCGGTCGATGCTAATAGTAAAAACGCATACACACGAAGGACAAACACCTAACACCTACGGGTCGCCTTCCAAAACAAAGCCTCCAGCCGCCCTCCGCCCACGGCGCTCAGGCGGCCAACGGGAGGGACCGCCGCCGAGCTGACGGCTACGATGATGTCGGTCGCTGCTGAGACCGCGCCGCTGGCGAGGTGCGCACGAGAGCAGAGAGGCTGGTACACGAGCGAAGCGCAGCACGAGATCNGGCGAGGTGCGCACGAGGGCAGAGAGGCTGGTACACGAGCGAAGCGCAGCACGAGATCTCTGACGCGTCGAAGGAGATTAAGGCGGCCCAGCAGCAACTGCGCGGGGCCTCAAAGAACAGCGCCTGCGAGGCGACCCTGAAGGCGATGCTCAAGGCGGCGCGGAAGAAGCGCAGCATCGCGAGGTGGAGCGCACTGAAAACGTTCTTCAAGGACTACGTACGGCAGCTCGAGAATATGAGCCGCGAGGGGAATTCAGGGGTTTCTACAGGCACCTGAAGTTGATCGACATCGAAGGTAAGAGGTCGTTCACCTCTCAGAACATCAAGGACGAGGACGGTGAGGTCCTTCGGGACCCCGCGTTTATTCGCCAACGGTGGGTGGTTCCACAAGCTTCTCAACACGAAGCCGCCGACCATCGACCTGCATGCGGCTGACAAGGTCAAGCGGTGGCCCACGTACGTGCCACTCGACGACATCCCATTTCTACTTGAGTTCGAGGAAGCGGTACGGGAAATGGCCAACAGAAAGGCCGTCGGGCCGGACGACCTACCGGCTGAGCTGATCAAGCCTTTCCTGGACGGAGATCAAGGCGTCCTCTGCGAGTTCCACGCCACTGTCGTGGACGCNTCGAAGGTAAGAGGTCGTTCACCTCTCAGAACATCAAGGACGAGGACGGTGAGGTCCTTCGGGACCCCGCGTTTATTCGCCAACGGTGGGTGGTTCCACAAGCTTCTCAACACCAAGTCGCCGACCATCGACCTGCATGCGGCTGACAAGGTCAAGCGGTGGCCCACGTGCGTGCCACTCGACGACATCCCATCTCTACTTGAGGTTGAGGAAGCGGTGCGGGAAATGGCCAACAGAAAGGCCGTCGGGCCGGACGACCTACCGGCTGAGCTGATCAAGCTTTTCCTGGACGGAGATCAAGGTCTCCTCCGCGAATTCCACGCCATTGTCGTGGACGTGTGGCAGACTGGGGACGTACCACAGCAGTGGAAGGATGCCACCATCAACGTGCTGTTCAAGAAGGGGGACACGATGTAGTGCTGCAACTACCGGGGCATCTCGCTCGTCGCACACGCCGGCAAGGTGCTGCTTAAGGTCGTCGCTACACGACTGAGCCACTACTGCGAGCGAGAGGGCATCCTCCCGGAGGAGCAGAGCGGTTTCCGCCCACACCGGTCGACGCTCGACATGCTGTTCGCCATCCAGCGGCTTCATAAGCTCGCGAGAAAGAAGAGTACTGCGGTGTTCGCGTGCTTTGTCGACCT